CCATCACTCCAGAGTCCAGAGCGACTCCAGCCGCTAGGTGTGCTCTGTCGTTAGTTGAACCAAGCTCAAGCCCACATTGTCCACACACCACCAGCATGCAATTTTGCTAATCAGAAGATCGGTTTCTGACCTTTGCCATCCTTTTTTTTTTTTTTCGAAGCCCTGCTTGAACTGGTCGCTCCACATGCAAGGCGTGCCGGCATCACAATAGAGCCTGTATGTAGTATCATACCGGTACCCCGTACGCCATTCTCAAGGTGGAAAACAACACGAAAACTAAGCTGCACACGGGTCGAGCGGGCTTTGCCAATTCTCAAACGTAACGCGAGCCTGGCTAGACTCGTTCGTTCAAGCTCAACATCCGCCTCATGTGGAAGTCATGCTTACCCTGCATCACGAACCACGAGATTACCGTTGCGCCTCTTGCCCCTGCCCCCTCTCCCCTCTCCCCTCTCCGTCTAAGCCATCTTTTGCGCCAACCGTTACTTGTTTTTTCAACCTTCCTTTGGCCCCGGCATGTGCAGGCACGAGTGGCATGTCGACTGTCTGTTCTCGAACCTATCACGTTAATGAGAGTTGCCAAACCATCAGCCGTCACTTTTCGTCCACCCCCCTCCCTGCTCAAAGGGGCCTTCCTCATGCCCATCACCACCAACCCGGCACTTGCGAATACATACGCGAAGGTCCATACATGAAGGCGCATTTACTTATTCCAGTCTCACGCACTACTATCTGGCTCATCTTCAGTAATTGGCTTGCCCCCTGCAGCGACGAACAAGAGTTGATTTGTGATATATGCTACTCAACAACCGCTGCACCAGCTTGGCATAGTCGCGCAACTTGGTCGACCCAAAAGCAGCCTTCCCTGTTCCCCCACGGGGCGGCTTAATGCTAGCTTTCTTTTGGGGAGAGAGCATGTCTGCAAGGTCAAATGTGCTTCGATTCGTGGCACAGCATTTTAGCCGAATGCAGTCCCCTCCCTCGCTTGATCTGATCTGATGTGCCGAGTGCAACCAGCTGCATTTCCAACTTGGGACGGATATCCTTGTCCCACGAGCCCCCTCTCGTACATCACGCTTGTTACTTACTGGCCGCTGTGCCTCGGAATCCTTCATGCCGGATACGCCGCCGGAGCATCTCCTGCTCTGCGCTGTCGAGGTGGCAATGGCGAGAGACGTTATTTGCTACGTCGTCCATGAAGCGATTCCACAAATGGGAATGGTCATGGCCACATTCCGTCGAGCCGAGGAATCCAATCTAGGTACCCAGGTAGTGACTTGTACTGAAAATGTCCTCTCCCCCGACATTGACATTGGCCGCAGGGTTTAACCTTGCGTACGACATGGAGCCTAATCCCTCCCACTGCCTCCGTGGGTAACGAGCGCGGTAGTTTGGGTACGCCTCAGACGGACAAGTCCTTCAAGGCAAGTCAGTTGACGAGACTAAGGTACGCACCCTAGACGATTCAAGAAAAGGCTAGGTTTGCTCAAGCTTGAAGTCAGCTGCAGCCAAGTCTGTCAACTATCACAAACGCCAAAGTTGAAGGCGGCCCCCCGCAGCATCGCATCGCATCGCATCGATCCCGTTCGGTAGTAGGTCAGGGCCTCCAATGGCTCACACTGGTGCCAAGGGTCCAATCGATTTCATACCATAGCCACAACAGTCATTTTCAGCTCGCAGCAGCCAAGTAAATGGACTCGCAACCACCAGAGAAACATCAAAGGGCGTTTGGTCAACGTCTCCAAAAGATCGTCGTGATGATCCATCACCTCGGCGGCGCCTCCCTTGACGGCGGCTGTTGCGAGAGGACCCTGTCTCGACACCATCCATGATACTATTCTGCACTCCGTACTCCTTACCGGGTCCATCGTTTATCAGGATGGCGCCCTTGTCGTCGGAGTGCTCCCGATACGGAGTACTGGCTAGTGCTGCTACGGCGAGTGCCCACACCAACAGGCGTCGACGGTCCGCTCTATCGTACATGCTGTCAGTTAGGTATGCTTGGCAGTTCAAGATCGACGGCTGGGTCCCGCGGCGCGTCCGAGCGTGCGTTTGGAATCTAGCCAAAGAAAGCGACTCTCCGTTCTTATCCGCCTCACAACCTCGACCAAGCTTCTTCCATCCAGGCACGCTGCTTCCTCCAAGGTCAAGCGTCCCTACTTGGTCCCGTGAGAACATGTCATTGGGTAACTACAGAGGTCACCCAGCAGGAGCCATTTCCACCTCGCTCCCACACTTCCCATTGTTTGCCACGCATCGCCGTCGACGATCCCACTTCCCGTCTGCTACTACTAGTCCTCACGCCACAGACATTCCGCGCTAGCTTGCTCTTGTCATGGATCTAAGCTATTGTCATGGTGTGGGTTCGTTTTTTATTAGACTGATCGTGATTCACTCGTGATTCAAGACGCCTGAATCCCGGCAGGTACTTCCCGGGTCGTGACTGGTGAGGCTGCTTCTCAATCTTGTCAAGTTCAGAGCCGAGGACGTGTGGTCCTGTTTCATCAATAGCGGTTGCCGGCCAGAACTGCAGCTGATATCAAATCCCGGCTCGTGTCAGATATTAGGAGCCTCCGTCGACTATTGGTTGAGACTATCATATTTGACAGAAGTTTTCTCTTCTCACCACTACTTCCAAGGCCAAGCCACACAAATTGAAATATTAATATCCGTATTATATATTGGGCGCAAGAAACCGTAGGCCATCCCAGTTGATACGTCAAAGCTTCCAGGCGCACAGAGGCGCCCCCAAAATCTCAACCCGGTCATCACATTCTTACGAGAAGTCAGCTGCAATAGAAGCGACAAATATGACCGTCTGAGAATGCTGATTGGTACGTGCAGCTTGCAATAGCAAATATATGGTCTATTCTAATCATGGCGCAGTTTACGACAGACCGTCGTCCATGCCACAAACAACTGTCTGATGACAACGTCTGATTATTGGCGCGGAAACGGGGTTATTTCTGCCTAGTTGTCGTCGATGTGTATGTGTGAAGCTGTGAACCAGGCACGAAGAGGCGCAAAAAGGTAGGTCCCAGGTCCCCCAGCGATTGACAGATGTCAAGTGCAGCTCCAAGAGCACTGTATCAAGAAGAAGCTCAAAGAGCTGTGCTTGCTTCAACAACCAACTGTTTTCGTTCTGAGTATTGCAGCACTGGCTGATAATCTGATTCGAGTATTCCAAGCGCCATGAGAAGAAAGAGAGACCTGGTTAGCGAAAAAAAAAGAAGTATATATGAAAAAAAAGCAGGACTACCCAACCGTTCTCCAATGGCTGGGTGTTTCCCTGAACTCTCAAGTTCTGGGCTCCAACCTGACTTTTGACCCTGGCGGCACTGAGGTTTCGAAAGCAACGCGCCGTGTATATGCCAGAAAGTGGTACGTCTGAGGATTCCAACCTCCGTCTAGCGTTGCGAAATACTCTGACACAAGATGAACATGGTTTAGACTTACCTTAAAAGCCCATCTCGTCGATGTCCCGGAACCAACATTTAGCAAAGGGCCCGTCCCTACCATGGCGAGCGTCCACGATTTTGGTGCCTTTGACGGGCTGCACGTCTCGCAAGGTCTTGGTCGTCGGACTTGGGGGGGCCTTGTGATGTTGAAGCGAGCGAGCGCCTCGACACTGAGGAGCGGACGAGAAGCCCGAGCCTTTTTCCCTCTCGCCGCATATCACAAGGCTGTGGCGAGGGGAGCATCTCAAGCTTGGTACGTGGCCTTGAGCAGGAACTGGTGGTGACTGGGTATCACTGATATTGACGCAGTGGGAGGCAAAAGGTATTCGTTCGACCAGAGATGGCACCACGGTATTTTTCGTATCACTGCCTGCGCATTAGGAGGCAAGTATCACATGCAACAGGCTATATTTCGAGGCCATGGGATGATGGCTGAGATGTGGCGCGTGGACTCGTCGTCGGCCTACTCTTGGCAGTTGTGAGCAACGATTGACCTGATGGGCTGCGAGCCTTGATGTTGCTGCGGAGAGGCATGCTGTCACTGATTGCGCGGGAAGCCGTTTCTGGTGTAAAAAGTGCGTATCCGCATGTAGGCTCAGCACTGGGCATCAACGGTGCGGAATTTCCGGGTTGACAAGATGATGGAGGGGAAGGGTAGATGGGCAGCGTGGTATACCAAGACTTGCTGGTGGCCGGGCATCTATATATATATACTGGAGAAGAAGGACTTGGCCTCCCACGCGATGGCCTGGGGCCTTGCTTGCCCTGATGTCGACGCCGTCGGTGGTTTCTGCCAATCCCAGGACGCGGGGATTCCGATCTGGGAACCTGGGACTCGGTAGCGAAGTTGCGAGCAGGTCGCCGTTGGCCTTGGCAGACATGGAGAGAGAGCATGGATGAGACCTGTCGAGACGGCAGACATGGAGCAGAGAAGGCGGGTATGGATGAATATCTCGAGGTGCCAGACGTGGACAGAGAAGCAAAGGTCGGGATGAATATCTCAGGCAGATGCATCGAGGCCCATGGCCAGCCACAAATGCCTCCGACGCACTCCATCCATATCCAACCACACCAAGTCTACTTGTTGGGAAGGTGGCCGCGACAGCTCGGGGCCGGAGGGCGACACGTCACAGACTCACACCAGGATCTCATCTCAGCAACTTCACACATCACAGGACTGTGCAGCGCATACACACGACCGTCAAGAGCCGATGGCATTCCCACTCGACGGAGGGCAGGCAGCGTTTACTCGCGGCAACAAGCGCGGGAGGCACTTTTTGCCTTGGATAAGCTTCTACAAGTAGCCGCCAAGGCATCGTGATGGCCTCGCAACACATCAGACACGTTGAAACATTCTCGACAGCACAGTATACGACTTGCCGAACCTCGCGACTCTTGGCTGTAGGAGCGGCACATCTATCATATCTGAGATATATCACATGGCTAAGCCCTCCGTCTACATCGTGGGCCCAGCGGGACGAGGAGCCCGTCATTACGAAAACGACAGACTGGTGGTATCCGACGTCCAATACTGGCAATCCCCTAATACGCTTCGTTGCTCACCACGCCGGCTTCGACGCCAACGGGCCCGGCGCACCAGAGCCGCCAAAATCCGCTTTTACATGGCCTTCTCTGCCTCTCGCAGCAGCGTGAGCCCTTGCCCAGCAGCCTCTCGCACTGCTCCCTGTCGTCTCCGCTGTACTTGCCGAGGTACGTCATCTGGACGGACGTGTCGTCGTCGGAGATGACGTCGACCGCTCCCACCTCGCGGGGGTCTGTTCCGCATGCCGGAGGCGTGGCGAACCACGCGCACTCCAGGCCCGTGCCGTCATGGCGACAGTCCTCCTTGTGCGGTGACGCGTACCACTGCTTCCGGTCGGCCCTGTCCATCTCCTCAAACGTGGGCTCGGGGGCGCCTGGCTTGGCGTAGTATCCCTTGGACTGCGTGTAAAACTTGTCCTTGCCCGCGCGGTCTGGGCAGTACCACTCGTCCGAGTCGAGATCGTAGCACCTGTTCTCGACGGCCCTGATGGCCGGGTGCGGGTGCTTGAAGTCGCGGACCTGGCCGTCGAGATCGGGGTAGGCCTCGTAGTAGTGCCAGCCGTGGCCGGCGTCCAAGTACCTCGCCACTCGTCGATCCGGGTCGTACTCGGTGTAGCCGTGCTCTCCGGCCCTGAGCAGGTATCTCCCGGCCCGGTACCCCGTGATCTCGGGCCTCTCCCACAAGGAGAGAATGGGAAGCCGAAACGCCACCTCGAGGTGGAAGGGCGTCTTGCCGTCGGATTCCAGGAGCGGCGTCTCGACCGTGCACTCCCTGGCCGCCCGCGTCCTGCGGCAGGCCTTGCTCTTCCATTCCGCCCACTGGAGGCACTCCGAGGGCCAGTCTTGCAGGGACGTCGCCGCCGGGCACTGTCTCGTCGACCACACGTCGTGGCCGCGGTCGTCCCGCAGCGTCTCCTCCGTCCTGCAGGGCCCCCTGAACGTCAGCTTGACGGTCCAGGCCTCGGTCCAGCACGAGTATCTGGCCTCGCACTGCGACACGGTGCCCTCGGACAGCGTCTTCTCCGTCGTCGTCGTCGTCGACCTGGAGTAGCCGCCCGAGATGGTGACGCCGCCCATGTTGCCCGTGTAGGGGCTCCAAAACCCGCCGTTGACCTGGCCGCCAATGTTCCAGCCCGACGTGGTGCTGTCGACCGTGATGGACCCCTTTTGCGTGTTGAGCTGCACCGAGCCGCTTCTCTGGTCGTTGTCCACCCTGCGGATCTGCTCCGTCTGCACCGTCAGGTTGAAGTCGACCTCGCCGACATCCACGAGCTCGGTGACGCTGACGAACTGCGTGTGGGCGAGGCTCCAGAAGTTCCAGTGCCGCCCGCACGTGGCCTCCTTGTAGGCCGACTCGCGGCGGACGTTGGACAGGCGAAGCCTCAGGCCCTGCTCGAGCCGGCCGACGAGATCTCTCTGGCGCGCCTCGCTCTGGTCCGCCCGGAAATAGGGGCTCGCGGAATCCTGGGCACGCGACGCCGTGGCGAGCACCACGGCCACGAGAGCGACGCACCGCATCCTTTGCCGCTTGCGACGCGGGAAGGGCTTGGCCTGGAAAACAAGAACGAGTGTCGGGAGAGGGAGTTGGGCAGAAGGGGAGCTAGCACAGAGGCCTTTTTGGCAAGACGGCGAGCGTCATGGACAGGACACGCCCGACTGCCGAGGGCGTCCACGTCTCGTCTCGTCCCTATTTATGTCTTGCTTGCCCACGACGCTGTGCCCATCCGAACAGCTGCGTCGTGGCCACGCCATTCTCCAGCCAGCCGGCCAGCCAGACGAGCCATTCTGCGCGGATCGAACTTGTCCACGTCCCCGGGGTGGCGCCATTCGTCAATATCCAGATTCCGGGCCATGATCCCACGGTACCCCGTACTGCCGCTGGCATAAGGCCTGATGGGATGGAGAAGCCGGTCAATAGCGAACCCCCGACTATCAAACCCCGCAAAACGTAACCCTCCTGGCCTGATTACACGTCCCCGTTTCTTCGTCTTGGTCCGTTGGAGGGATTGATAGTTCGATGCTACTCCGTAGTAGCAATGCCAATTGTATTGATGCTACCCCGTGGGCAATATTATTAGTCGCGTTAATTGAATAATAACACGGCAAGTATTAGCCCGTATGCGTGTCTGGCCTTTCCAGCCGCCGCGCTCTCGTGCCACGCCACGCCATGCCATGCCATGAGTCCGTGACCGTCGGTGTAAGCACACCAGCACCTTGCACGCCATGTATTCGGCTTCGGGCAATGTGTCCAAGCGAGTACTTAAGCTGCCGACAGCTCCTGTGAGGCCCGTGAAGCCCGGCGAGGCACCCATGACTTCTCCTCCTCATTCATGCCCGGGCCAAGAAGTACCTGTCGGAATACCGTGTTCGCCCTCCACGACAACCATCACGTAGGAAGCCGTCTTCGCCATGCGTGCGCTCTTGGCCATCTCGTCGTGCCTCTTGCTCCAAAGCGCCGCTGCACCGGTCCCGGTCCCGGCCCCGGCTCCGGCCCCGGCTCCCCTCTTCAAATGGGGTGAGTTCTTCGGTCCCGGGGGACCACCGCGCTGGATAGAGGCCGCCTCTCCGCCGCGACAGCCATCGCCGGAGATGCAACTTGCGTCGCAAGAGTTACAAGAGTCACGAGACGCGCAGGGCCGCGGGGCCCATGTCCCAGAGGGCTTGTTCGAGGCCCAGGGCCAAGGCCAGGCACCACCGCAGCGGCTTCCAGAGCCAGATCCGGAGGCCTACACGCCCGAGGGCCCGCCGCCGCCGCCTCGGGGAGAGGGAGCTTTGCGGAAGATAGCCGACAGCTACGGCTACGGCGCGGACACGTCGACGCTGGAAGGACCGTCGCCGCCGCCGCCGCCGCCGCCACCGGGCCCGGCTCGCGAGCAACCATGGACGCCACGCCCTCCCGAGGCCTTCACTCCACAAGGGCCGCCGCCGGCCGAGCGGGCAGCACCGCGAAAGCCGGCATCGCCGTGGGACGGCAAGTCCCCCCAGGCCATCAAGGAGCTCTGGCTCAACGGCGCCCCCGAGACCAGGCTGGCCAACTGGGCCGACAACCCGGCCCATCTGATATGGGACGTGCTGACGAGCAAGCAACGGACGCTGCTCGTGCTGGAGAACAGCGGCCCCAAGAACTGGCCGAACCTGTCGCCCGCGCAGCGCCTGCGCCTCTGGCAGGACAGGCCCCCCCTCGGCACGCGGGACAAGCAGAAGCTGTGGGCGATGCTGACTCCCGAGCAGCGCGAGACGCACTGGCAGCAGGACCCCAAGCGGTGGCAGAACCTGACGCCGCGGGAGAAGGACGAGGTCGTCGAGTCCATCCGCCGCAACGCGCTCTTCAGAGACGTCGCCGACGAGGGGATAAGGAGGACCGTCGCAAAGATAGACAAGCTCGCGCCCGCGGAGCTGCGCAACCTGTCCAGCGGCAGGATCCGCGAGATGAAGGACGCCGTCGTGAAGGCGCTGACGAGAGAGCTCTGGCTGCTCAAGGGGCCGGCCAGGGAGAATGAGGGGCGTCCGGGACGCCAAAGGGCCGGAGGTGGAAATAGCTTGTAGATGTCTCTTACAATAGATGCGTATCATGAGTCGTGGCTTTGTCTTTGTCGGCGCTGGACCGACTGCGCATCGTGTTCGTTGGCCGCCAGCCGCTTGTGGTCACCGACTCACTGGGGGCTGGTATGCTCTGCCGACCTGCTCTGATGTGAGGCATCTGCCGGCAGGTGGACGACTTGTTGGACCTGACGTGCCTCGCGAGTCCCGGTTTCGCCTTACAGGCTTTGTCTGAGAGCTGTGGTTGTGGCCTGTCCCTTGGTGTTTGGGCCAATACGGCTCTGACGCCGTGTAGAGGAGTCTAGAGTCGGGACACCTCGCCTCGCCTTGTTGTTGCCCCGTCTGGCGTTTTGAAATTCCAGCCTCCCCATGACCTCCGCATCTGCTGGCTCGCAACTGCGACGCTGGATCCGCGGGCCTTCTTGGCAGGGCCGGTCCCCGCGGCGCCACATGGCCGTGGACTTCTGGCACGAGGCCCGAAGCAGGCGGTTACATGTCGTAGGATGATGGATCAGGGTTGGCCGGCTTCATCAACCTTTTTGCCCGGTCAATCTCGGACGACTCATCCTTGCGCCTTTTGCCTTTGTCTAGTGTTGCGCAGTCCGGACTGGATTCAGTTACACGGAGTGCCTGCAGGGACACACGGCAACCAACTTGAATGGGAGAGCGCAACCATGCCGTGCAATCAATTACGGGGTATGCCTTGGGCGTGCCCCGACCAATCCAGCCAGCCTCGAGTACCTATATATACAGATTGGTCTGTTTGCATTTCCACTCTCGGAATTTGCCGCCCCTTCTTGGCCGGGGTCACCGGTCCAGCCTGGTTCGAGACTCGTAAACTTGCCCGCGACGGCATGTCAAGACAAAAGGTTCGACTTGATGCTCTCTTGTGCCTAGGCTGCCCACCCTCACTTCCACAGCTGTGAAAATCAAACATCGAGCATGTGTCCCGTCTGACGACGGCTGAGAGAACAAGTCGGCGTCGCAGTTGGATCTGGCGTACCTTGTCGCCTGGTCTGGTGCGCGCCGTCCAAGCGACCGTAGTCATGGCCTCGAATATATAAAGCATGAGGGACCCCATTTCTGGAACTGCCGCGTGCGCCCCCCTAAACACAGAACAAGAGCATTCAAACACATCCATTGTCCGCTGATAACATACCTCGCGGCATGTATTTGACGCACGTGTTGGCCCTTTTCGCCGCTGCCACGGCCGCCAGGTCTGGTTAGTCCCGCCGCCACTGCCGGCTATTCGAACCATCACCCGTCTGGCTAATCAATGTCATCAAGATGTGCCGGCCGGCCGGAAGTTTAGGCCCCACGGAACGTGCGAGTGGTTCGGCACGGCGCCCATATGCGAAGGCGAGTGCCCGGCAGGCTGGACACTGATCCAGAACGAAGTGCTCAATTGCTGGACGGGCTCCAAGGCGTACTGCTGCCGGCACTAGGCGCCGCGAGTCGCGCAGGCTGAGCGGTGGCATACACGGCGCTGCGTCACCGGCTACGGGGTCATGCGGTGCCGGCTGGGAGTCGGGCAACGTTGAGACACTGCGAGCCTGCAGAGGGCCTCGGTTCAGGTTTTTGCCCATCGCGTCGGGTTTTCGCCGTACTCTCGTGCGAATGCAGAGGCTCCTGTGGTAAGGACTGGTAGTTAATGCACTCTGAGTTTTTCAGAAACCAGACATCGAGCCAGAGACGAGTACGAGGGGCTGAGAGCACGGCATGAGATGTACAGTCTTGATGCTACCCAAGCTCCTGTAGGAAATATGCAGAGCTCTGCCGGGTGGTTGATAACGTCTTGATATCTGCGGGCTGCTCCGGCTCGCGCCTTGGCAAGCAACATGCAGAGTTGCAGAGTCTCGGATTTCCAGATTAGAGAAGGAGAGCCAAGATACTCCCGCACGACGGCTCACTGCTGCACAAGAGCTAGTCTACTACATGACCGTCTCTGGGGCCATATGGGTGGTGAATCGTGAATCGTGAATCGTGATGCGTGTTGCAACAAGTTCGTCTTGTCTGGGATTCAACTTCTGATTGGTCCATGATAATTGGGGGTTGCCTGCTCTAGACTCGTCCGACACGCAGACACTGGGCAGTAAACACCGCGGGTACGTGTTTTGACCTAATGTACGGAGTACGGTGCAAGGTGTATCATAGCCATACCATGCCATACAAGCACCGACCTGCTAGTTCAACGATGCCAAAGCACTTGGGTAAGTTGGTTTCTGAAGAGAACTGTTCGCCTGATTACATAATACGGCGGCCGAGAACCGGCCGGATCGACCCGAAGATTCGCCGAAGGCAGAAGATTTGTGGCGACGTAAATCGAGCGCACTGCAGAATTATCAGCGAGAAGCCCGTTTGATGTGCCAGTCGGCCGTGTGCAAGGTCCAATCCCGATGTGTCACATCTCTCATGCCAGTTCCATGAGGGAGCTTGATATTCGAACTGGTGGTCAGCTTCTACTCTGCGTCCCGACTCAAGTCGGTCGCTCGTGTCACGCCAAAGCCGGCCGACCGACCGACGTGGTCGTTTCCCAAGCCAAGGACCCTCGGGTCTCTTTCAAGACGTCGACCGGTGCATTTGGGCATGTAGAGGTCCAAGATGGCAGGCAATACGCTGTTCATGACCCCCGAGGAATCAGCACGTGTGCAGGAGACTGTGCGGAATCTGAGGCGGAAATGTCAAGAGCAAATGGGCCAACGACGCGAGCCCCAGGACGCAACGTCTTTGATCCAACAAGCGACCGGGTCGTCGCTCATGGAAGACATGGCGTCTTCCCTGTTCGGCGTGCCTCAGCAAAGGAACAGCCCGGAGACCATGCCGGCATATGCGGTCGGATCGCCCTACCTACCGTGCACGACAGCATTGTCGGAATTGCATCCCATGGGCCTATCGGATCTGCGCATGGAGACGCATCACCGTGGGCGTGTGCTCAGGGCTCGCCGTGCGTCCCCTGTCGTCGCGCTCAAAGCATCCTCTTGGGCGGTTGTGCAGGGAGAGTCGGTCGGCGACGCAGAGCGTCTCGAGGTCTTCCTGCACAAGTCCAAACACGGCCAGGAACTTCTGGATTTGGGTTCTGTCTTTTTGGTCAAGGAGCCGTACTACACCCTTGACAGTCGTGGCGAGCCAGTCATCCGCGTCGACCACCCATCGGACCTTGTTATTTCTGCGTATAGCCATGGTCCGGAGTCATGGCGCAGCACGGAACGCGACGTGACCTGCGCGACCAGGACGGCTGCAGCGTGCAAGGAGGAAGGGAACGCCGCGCTGGGGAAGAAGGATTTTGCACGAGCTCACGCCTGCTACACCGAGGGCTTGAGTCGCCTTGGAAAGGACGACGAGGCCACCGACACCTTGTGCAACGACCTCCACCGGAACCGCTCCCACATCAACCTTTTGCTCCGTCGCTTCGAAGAGGCCAGATCCGATGCGCTCGCATCCCTGACTCACAGCGATGACCAGGACAAGAAGCTTTTGGATGCAAAGGCCTACTATCGCGCCGGCACCGCGGCTTACAGCCTAGGCGATTTCGAAGATGCAAAAGCCTTCTTCGAGACACAGCTAAAGCTCGAGCCCGACAACCGATTGGCCAAGATCAACCTGCGGCGGATCAAGACGCGAATCGGCGAGAGAGCCACCGGAGCCCATGACTTTGGCAAGATTGTTGGCAGTCTCCCCAAGACGCAAGGGCGGGCCGACGCGGCAAGCTTCGACGGGGACACCGAGGTCAAGGACAGCCCCGGAGCCGGGCGCGGTCTGTTTGCCAGGCGCGACTTTGAACCCGGGGAGATGGTCATGTGCGAAAAGGCCTTTTGTGTCGTCTGGGGCCATGAGCCGGGGGCGTTTTCTGCCCTCACATGCGATGTCCGTGACGAGGCCGCCATCCGCGTCTTCCCCGCGGGCCTGCACAAAGCCGTGATGCAGGCCATGCTGAACAATCCCTCGCAGGCCGACAGGGTCCTGGATCTCTTCAGCGACCACCAGGGGCTTGGCAACAGACACGCGGAGCAAGACGGCGGCCCCGTCATTGACGCATTCCAGGTTCACGACATCGTTCAGCGCAACGCCTTTGGCCCCGGCCGACAGACGGAGGATGAAGACGTCACAAACGCCAGCACGGGCCTCTGGGTTCGCGCAGCCTACATGAACCATTCGTGCGTCCCCAACGCAAAAAAGGACTTTGTCGGCGACCTCGTGCTCCTCCGCGCCACTCGTCGAATCGCGGCTGGCGAGGAGATTACACACAGCTACGACGAGTCCAGTGACTATGATGCAAGGACTGCGGCCATCCAGAAGACATGGGGCTTCAAGTGCCACTGCGAGCTTTGCGGGGCCGAAGAAGCGGACGGACCTGACCTGCGCAGACGGCGCCTGGAGCTCGAGGACCAGGCAAATTCGTTTTTGCAAAGGGAAAATCCGTCAGGGGCGAGTAGGATGGCGATCAACAAGGCAAAGCGCCTCCAACAGTCGCTCAACTACACCTACAACGACAAGCGATACCAGGGTTTGCCGCGTCGAGCGTTGAGCGGGCTGGAGCAGTGGCTCAAGACGGCCCTTGCCGGGTAATTCTTGTGTGAGCTTGGGCCTAGCAGGCTGCAGGGGAAACTCAGTTGGTTGATGGCTGAAGGTTAATAGACGTATAGTACCGAGTACGGTTGGCGTCGAATGCTACCATGCATCACGACCCAAAAAGGGCTGGGGCAGCATATGGTGTCAAGTGCTTGGGAGGAGTAACTTAGTTGTTGGCTAAAAAGCCCAAAAGCCCTGTGACGAAAAGGGGTCCACAAGTACGTGTATCAATAGAGACCAGATGAGATAGAACTGGGCGTCGGGTTAGGGTTAGCTGGCAAGACACTCCGTGGTGAGCGTGGCCAATGGCTGGCCCGGCGCGACCCACCAGCCGAGACGTCGACCCATGGAGCGTTCCAGCCTCAACCCGGTCGACGTGCAACGGACAAGTTGCCGGCCAGGCGCCTCCAGATGAGTCTACGCCCAGCTGCTCGCCTGCTCGGTGCCAGTTGAGATGCTCACGGCGTCTGCGGGCGGACCTCGCCGCTTGACCATGGGCGACGAGGAGCGCCGCCTCCTGCAGCACTACCGTCGATGGTCGGAATTCGAGCGTCACTGGGAGACTGCGCTGCTCGACTGGTGCAGATTCCAAGCCTCGTGGGGGTTCTGGGGAAACACGACGTGGCTGCAGGCCCGGGTGCGGTCTATCCTGCACGAGGGGCAATGGCTACGCTGGATCAGGCTCACGAATCGTCATGTGTTCCCGAGTGGCGGGTGTTATTAGAGCTCTTTAATCTGCGCGCAAAACATGGCACATGAGGTCTCGCCGTACATGGCATTCGCTTGTATGCCCCCGAGCACTGTGGCAATGTCAACCCTTTGTCTGTGCCGAGAGCGAGCTCTACACGGGGCTTTCAACAGATTTCGGCTGCGACAAACGACTCAAACCTCTTCTGTGAATATCAACACCAGGACCAGCCATCTCCCGTGTTTGACAAGTCTCCAAGTGAGTAGTTTCACAGGAGTCGTCAAAGGGATGTGCTTGTACTGCCGCCTGCGGTGGGTGGTTGCGAGCGTGGCCCCGGACTAAGTTATCCTCTGCCGCGACGTTGACTGCAGCACGCTGCCTAATGACAAGCCAATATAGTTTAAACACACAAAAATTGAATGTTGTATTCCGATGATAAATCTGGAGGCGGTAGATGTTCAAGCGCAGCTATTAGTTGTAGCGAGTGAAAAGTGTCGAGGCTAGTGGCGGTTAACACGAAGGTACTAGGTATTGAGTAGTACTTTGTCTAGAGCGATTATATACTTGCAGGTAAAAAAAGCCAAGTATGTACCAAGTATATAGACTAAAAGCGTGGCATACAGTAGCAGGTACAAGATTTGTACCAGTTGTTTTGGGCTTACAGGCAACTTTGGCCAGATAACATGACGTACAAGTATGTATCGTACGAAGCTTCCATCAGCCGTCAAGGAGAGAACTACGTGCGGCTTTTACACGAGCTTACAGTGCATACGCTGGGGACGCATCATTATCAAGCGTTGTCGTCGATGCAGGGAGGTCCAGGGCGACAACGACTGATGAGGGTTTCCGCGGCTCTTGCGCACCAGGGATCCACGTGCCTCGTCCAAAGGGCAGCAAGTCCAAAGTTGGCAGGCATCCAGATGAGCAGCGCCAGTGCAGTGCGCAAATGGCCGGGGTAGTGCAACACGGCCTTGGCGCTCTCGCCAGTCTCGTCAGCCTGACTGTCGACTTGGCCGGGCAGGCGAACCCCGTACACCATCCAACAGAGAAGGCTCCTCATCAGTGGCCCGTGGATGAGGTAGACGGCAAAGGACTGGTTTCCGAGCCAGACAAGGTATTGGTTGCAGAGAAGTGTCTGGAACACGTCGTTGAAAAAGATGGAGAGGGTGATGAGCTCAAGACCAATGGCGGAGCTGAAGTATGGCAGGTGCGCTTTCTTGGGGAGCACAGTGACGAGAATGGCGTGTTGGTACTTCGACCAAGGCTTCCGGTGCCACTGCTTCTCGGGGAACGAAGCGGCAAAGAAGCCAGCGAGCATCAGGACAACGGACAGACACTTGAACAGTGACGGCCGGTGGGCGAGGAGCCGTGCCGCGGGCGGATGGTACCGGACTTGGCAAAGGAAGACTCCCCAGATCAGCTGGGTGCCGTTGACTGTCTGACTCATTAGCTCGGGGCAGGCATGGGCATGGCACCACAACCAAGTCGGGTTCGGGTTCAACCGTGGCTGAGTTTGCGGCGGCGTGACGCACCATCTGCACAAATATAGTAATAGGAGAAGATGAGTACAGATGCCAGCATGCGGTAGTGCGGGTGGATCTTGGAGGTTGCAAGCAGAAACATGTAGACCCTCATGCTGCCAGCGAGGAGCGGCAGCAGTGTCCACTGGTGCCTATCGTAGACATTGTCGCCGGTTGTCCACGAGGCGACGGTGTTGTCGACCAAGGACCTGAGGGCGGCGCAGAGGGAGAGCATTCGGTCAGGCGACGTGCGGACGATAAACGGACTGTCGCTTTTCTGTGCCACGAGGAACATGCCCAGCTGCGTCATGATCCATACGACGCACGTGATGATGGTGACTGGAAACACAAGCCTCGGCGTCCGGCGCAGGGCCGACCTCGCCATCAACGACAAGGCCAGCTCGGGCTCCCGGTGGAGTCTAGTTGGCTGCATCGAGCAGACGTAGCCGGTGATGAAGAAGAAGATGAGGACGCCGAGGCGACCCTGGACGAGGACTCGTAGGAAGGGCTGCTGCAGGAGTCGCGCAGGCGCGCCATCGCGGGAGGCAGGGTGGAAGAGGTCGGGGTCGAAGGCTCTGGCGAGGTGCGTTGATATGGCAAGACAGGAGGCGACACCGCGTAGTCCCTGGCCGCCGACTGTGAGCGCTGACCACGATCAGAGTCCAGAGGACAAGTCAGGTCAGTTGGACTGGTGGCAGCACGAACCGTTATCCAGGCAATGTGATGATCTGCTTTGCCGCCAGTCGTGGTCATTGTGAGCGAGCCCAAGCAAAAGGTGTGTTGGAACAAGCGAGTAATGACGAGTGGACAATGTTGTGGAATACCATACAAGGGCTGAACATGTATTTGTACCGGGGATATCCCCTAGCCTTGGTGTTGGGGATTGAGGAATTGACACCCATTGAAGCTACACCTTCTGCCATTTCAACAGCAGGACGCAGGATGCCGGCTGCCGGCTGCCGGATGCCGGATGCCGGTGAAAGACGGCACAAAACGTTTCCGTCCTTCGGTGTGGCCGGCGCACAAGCCACGGTGTTGCGACTCCGAGCCACAGCCGGAATCGGACGTGCCAAAAACCCAGACTGCACTCGCGCGACAACATGCTTTTTTCGCCGTGCACTCCATGACAAGCTCGTCTCCTAGCTTGAACCTTGAACTTGCGACGCCCACGCTTGGTTTCCCGGATGCCCGGCACATCCACTCTCTGGCTGATTCAAGTCAACCTCGTGCTGTTTCTCCGTGGTTCCCAACCGCTTACTGCCGCCGAAACGACCGAGTACAGGACGAGATTGACTGCGTCTCCAAGTCCCAGCCGGCGGGGAAGGCTCCGTCTTCAACACAAGGACTTGGCGCGGCAAACCAATACAAAAACAGCCTAGTGTCGATTGGCTGCATGAATCCGCAAAGGACCGGTATATTACGACGTTAACTGTGGTCCGGTAATAAACCCCGGAGTCCCGGACGGCCTCAAATGCGGGGCCGACCAAGTTGACGTCAATCTTCATGGCTCCGCCCCGCCGCACCCAACTTACAAACTGCCCGGCTGCTCCGAGTAATGACTGCTCGCTCAGGTTGAATCGTCATGGTCGTCAAGCTGCCGCTACGATTGGGCGGTTACGCTTAGGCGTCACGAAGCACAAGAAAAGGCGCAGTTACGAGACCGGAACGGGGTGCCAAACCAAGATTTCAAAATTTCAAATACTTGATCAGACTGCACTGCACTGTTGCGATCCATTGACGCGAGCCAGCCTCGAGATTCATGGGGGAACCTCGGTGGGAGTCGGGACACACAGATCGCACTTGGAGCCCGCGTACACATTAGATTTAGTAGACGAACAATAATAATCTTTCCGATTCCGCTCGCCCAGGGTTCACCGTTGAACGCTCATTAGCGGCGCAGTTTGCGTGGCAAAATACATCCGCTCATCAATATCGAGTGACCTCCAGGTGTACCTAGGACGAGATCTGGCTGTCGGGTTCATTATGCGTTCGCTCCTCAGAGTCGGCACTGATCTTAAACTCGATCAAGGCATTTTGCATGGCCAATTTGAGATTGTCGCCAATGACCGGTACCCAGTTGTACCTGTTTTCCCACAGAGGGTTAAGGTATGTTGGACAGGGCGTGAGTTGGACAATTCTCCCGGACTGGACGTTTTGGGCATGAAACGATATTGGGCGTTTTTTATGCTTGCCTTGCGGCAGCTGAGGTGGCGGCGCCACGAGTCTCATCTGATGATCGAGCCTGAATTTTCGCAGACAAATTTGACGGATTTGCTGCGACACATCCAAGCAGCTGTTCCACGTCTCGTGATCCAAATGACCGATGATCTGCTCGTACAGCTCCGGAGGAAGTCTCCCCGGAGATGCGGTGGCTGCGCGGCGGTTCCCGGCGACGTTGAAGAAGTTGACGAGTGCAGCGCACCCCACGAATAGCCTGTCAAAGATGCGCATGTCCCAGCTGGGAAAACTTCTCATGACCCGGTCTTCCGTCGCAAAGCGCTGATTCATGTTCGGCTTCGCCGCCGGCCGTTCCCGCGGGTGGGAGCTCACGCAGTGGTGCTTTCGAATAGGTGAAAGAGGCATTCGGGCCGTCACTTTCACGAATGGCAAGTCGTCGTCCCCCGGTGACACCTCGGCGAAAACGACGTCAAAAACGGATAAGATGACAATCTGGAAGTGGCCGAAGCCCTCGTCCCAACCGTAGTCGACGGCCCTGGTGACGGACTCGCCGTCTGGCATTCTTGTGAGACAGACAAGGACGTCGTCAAGCCAGTAGATGGTTTCGGACGGAGACGCCCCTGGGGGTTCCCCGGGACGATGGAACATGGTGCCGAAGGGAACGGGCGGCTCTTTATCCGCCGTTTCAGCCCACACGCGATCGGCGCAGAGCTCCATGACTTCCGGTCCCGGCACGCAGGGATTCAGTCTGGCCTTTCCAGAAGCAATAGAGACGAGAGCAAAAACAAGCTCGCGAAAAGGGAAAGAGTCTGCCGCCCACTCCAGTGCAAACTGGGTTATCTGCCGCTGGTAGGCCTCGAAAACCCGGGCCAAAAGATAGGCGAGGAGCATGCTTCGCCCGCCCTCGACGCTCGCTGCCGGGACTACGAGGCGGAAGTTGATGTCCATTTCCATGTTGTCACTGGGGGCTGGCAAGGCTGGCGATGCCACGTACTCCTCGGGGCACGTCTCCAAGCAAATGGTTGGTTTGCCTACGTAAACGCTGTCGGCGATGGAGCGAAGCCACAAGTTGTCTTTTCGCGGGATGTTGGCCAACTTCCAGTGAATGCCCTGATTCATGGTGAGAATTTCTTGATCCAAGTTTGTGATGTATGTGTACTCGGCGTCGAGGTTGTCCAGTAAGGGAAGCTCAGAGGGAAATTCGAGGAAATTGTAAAAACCACGCGGGATAGAATCCACCCCGTCTCGCAACTCATAGACCTCATCCTCGAGCTTCTTCTCCAGGGCTGCATATTTTGCTCGCTCCTTGTCGAGCCACGCTGTATGAGTGGTAAGCAATCTGCAGAGGGAGAGTAGAGTAGAGTCGCGAGGAGTCGCGACTGGGCAGTCTGTCACGTACCGCGGTACTCGTCCGGGTCGGCGGGGATTCCCGCGACAATACTGGCGCCCAGTCCCTCGAAGTAGCTGTCCAGACGATTGAAACGAACATAGTATCGCCTGTTGAAGCGAACTATGATGAGGCCGCGAGTTCCCATTGCGCGTGGCCAACAAGGTCTTGGTGCGTATCGATTCAGAGTTGCGCTGTTCTTGAGTCTTGACCGATGAATGACCCAGGAGAGAGAGAGCGGCAGAGCGGGAGAGCGGGGGTGGGCATGCGCTACTCGGCATTCACGTTGGTTTACGTGTTCGGGCATCGAAGAACCATGGTGAACAATTAGGTGGCCCAGGTGCGTGAGTTTTCACGGTCACCGCCGCTTCAATGTTGCCTCAGGCCTGCTGTTTTGAGCATATATTGAACCCGCACCTGAACGTTGCAACACCCACGGTCCGGGCAGCTGCAGCCTGCGGCTCGTGGCCGGCACCTGGGACAATATTTCACCGAAAACCGTTCAAGTTCAGTAGACGTGGAGAACGGCCAAGGCTCGAGGCATCTCGGATATCGGACCTGTTTTTCGTGCGAGGCGAACAGTCCTGTCTCCTCCTGCATCTGCTTCATTTCGCCGGCAAGCCCGGCCTGTCTTGACAGTACGCACACCTGCACACACCCAGTGCTTGTACCTTGTCATTCCTCCGTTCAAGAAGGCCAACGTTGATGCGGGGAACAGCAACATATCCGGAGCGCAGAGCTCAAGGGCCGATGGTATGTAAAATTCTGCATCACTCACGGCCTGCCTTTTTAGCAGCCGTGGCGTGCTGGAGCTGACCCTGGGGGCGGCACAAGGCCGACGGGGCTCGGGGGATTGGGAATTTATAGTTGAAGCGTGCGAGTGATGTGCTTGAAGCTGCTTCACACCGGAACGACGCCGTGCACGTGGCTCGACGGGGATCTCGTCGTTTCTTGGGCGCCCCCGTGCCTTGACTTGATTGCTACACAGCATGTTTCAAGGAAATCGACAGTATAATAAATTTAAAGGATAATCATTAAGTGAACCCCCTTAATAAATGTCTTCAAAATTAGATATTCTAAATATAATTAAGTCATTTTTCTTTTGTACAATACCTACATTTAAATAAACTAAATGTTTCATAAGTAATTCATCTCTTGAATGAATGAATGTTTACTTATACTGATTCTTATTGATAGGCCATATCCTAATTTCCGTTGATTATTCTTATGAAGATCTACAATGAAACAACCTTCAGTGCTAAAAAATCCGACAAATCAATAAGGATTAATATTTGCTAACAACAACAAGTTTTTACCAGGGATAAATTAGCAAATAGTATTTTTAAACTTAATGGGAGTCCTTTATTAAAAGATGCTTTAAGAATTAAAACTTGAATTCATCCTTTCATTACAAGATGTTCTTTACAATTTATGATTCCTAAAATTTCCTTAAAGAAATCATTTCTTCTGTTAAAGGATAATGATAAAAATGAGGAATAATTATATTAATAATATCTTGAACTTTTTACACTTTATTCTAAATATTCTTAAAAAAATACTTAATTTCTTTAAGTACATTTTCATCTCTTTTATGTAATTTTATCGAAAAACTACATCTTATATTTCGCCCTACAAAGCGAGATTTACTTTTATAAATTCTTACATGAAAACAGCCTTCACCATCAACAAATCCTGTTACTCACTCAATAAGAATTTAATTTAAATTTTATATTATTCTTCATATTTATTATTATTAAAAAGAAACAAACCTCCTAATATGGGTAAACACTTGGACTTGAACCAAGAACCAACCGCACCACGAACGGCTACTCTACCATTGAGTTATGACTACCTTATATTTTATTCTGGAAGAGCGATTCGAACACTCACTTGTAGACATCAAAAATCTATGTCCTACCTATTAGACGATTCCAGATTACATAAATAACATAAAAGCTTACACTCTATTTACTTACAGCTATAAATAAAATCCTATCTTAAAAGATATTTTTACAGATAACAAGACTTGAACTTGTATGAGAATTACCTCGTTCGAACCTAAATCGAATCTGTCTTCCATTCCAGCATATCTGTTTATAGCAAAAATCACTTTTACTATAATTATTTTTTTTTAGATTCTTTAACTATATCAGTAATAATATCTATATTTTCTGTAATAAAATAAGATATATATAAAGTACTTATACTAGTTATTATAAGAAATGTAAAACATAAAATTATAAAAGCATTATTAGTTTTACTTGTTAAACTTAAAGATTTTAGAATGAAATTCTGAGTTTTTTCACCTAAAATCTTCTTTAAAAATTCTAATTTTCATTGATTATTTACAACTTTATTGGCTAAAAATAAAATTAATATACAATATAAAAATAATATTACACACCAGTGTAAAATGTAGTTAGCATTTAATAAAGCCATAACTGTATCTAGATCCGCAGATGGTTCAATAGAAAATGCCGCAGGTCCATCGTTACCTGATTTTGGTAGATCAGAAATACTTGGTTGAATTTCTGAGGAAATTCTTTCTTTAGCATAAGCATTATTAATCTTTTTATCCATAATACTATTAAGACTATTAGCAATTGTTACTATACCACCTGTTGCTATACCAGTTCCAGCTAATACGCCTATTTTCACTGCCGGAGGTAGTGAGGAAGATTTAAGAACTTTAGCTGCACTAGACATACCTGCTCCTATGGCACCTGCTATTCCTACATTAGTTAGCCCTTTAAAAACTGAATCAGGTAAATTAATATTAGGATTATTTAGACTAATATTCGTATTTACATTAACATCTTTCGTTTCCTCTGTTATTTTTTTTATTGCTTCATCATCCAAAGCATAAACTACTTCAATATTAAAACTAAATATTATTATAAAGATACCAGAAATTAACGCACAAATTAGAAAAAATTCTATTGTATTCATTTTAGAAACTAATCTTTTTACAGACTTACCTAAATACCCTTCTAAACAAAAAAATATAAAAATAGATAAGGGTATTATTCTAAAAAAATTCAAATATGTCATATTTATTCTTTGAATATTCCTTGACTTTAGATTATATATTCATACCTATGGACATGCATTTCACGGTTGTAAGAGAATAATCATCATATTTATAAGTAGTAAAAGAATAATTTTATTCTAATAATTTAATACAATACTGCTGATTACATTTATATTATTTATTGAAAAATAATATAAAGATTATATACCTAATATTATATAAATATAATAATATTTACTAAGAAGTTAAATATAATCTTTACTCTTGTAGGACTTATAGGAATCGAACCTATATTTTAATGATTAAAAGTCATACGCATTCACCATTATACTAAAGTCCCTTATGCTCGAGGTAAGACTTATTATAAATTGTACAATTTGAATATATATATTTTTCTAATTCTAATATTTTGGCAAAAAAAAATCTCCTTAAGTATTTGCTCATGGCAAGACTTGAACTTACAGCAAAAACAGCTTCAATGTTTCACTCTACCAATTGAGTTACATGAGCTTAGACAAAATATTCAAAATTAGATAGTAAATATCTATTTATTTGACTTTCTTTGTACCTACATAATGTAGATAACCTTATATTCAATTAATCTACCACTTAGCTTTAATAGTAATGTATTAGTGGAAGCACTAGAATTTTCATCCAGATCTATCAATATAAATTGATTATAATTACCTATACTATACTTCCTTATAAGTTACAATAATTTATAACTTATAACCATCAATTGATGGTCTTTATTCTTTTACTTTAAATAGATTATTTTTACTTTCATTATTTTTCTTTATATTTTATTGTTTTCTACTAAAATAAAGATAATAAACTATGAATATTCTAGATTTCTTTTTGTATAATCCTACATTTTTTTATAAAGACTACTAATTTAAACAATAAATTGTTAAAATATTTATACAAATACCACCTAAACATATAATAAACAATATAAAGATATTTCATATTAAATAATATCTTTGAAATTTAATACGCAATTTAAAAAAAGCATCTAAAGAAGGATACTTTTGTTCCAAATTAAAATATTTTATAATTTCATTACTAAATAACGCTACTAATATGTTAAAAATAGTTACCATAATCACTAAAAATAACAAAATATGTAATAAAGAAGCTTCTTCTAAAAGACTTATATTATTAAGATAGTCTTATAAACCTTTTAAATTAGGCATAAAATTATTACCTTTACCATTATTAAAACTATCCAATAATTTATTAATCTTCTCAGTAACAGAAAGCATATCAGTAACTTCTTTATGTAAATTCTCTATTACTCAAATCACAATTTGAAGAACATTTATTTAAAGAATCTAAAACACTCTTACTTTTATCTTCAGCTATTTTTAGTTGTTGTTGTAAACTAGATATATTATCAGAGGATAATTCGGGAGGATTCTTAAGAGAATTATCCTTAGAAATAGTACTACAATTATCTTTTAATATTTTAATATTAGTAGCAATTTCATCTAACTTAGCATCTTTTTCAGTCTGAATTTTAGATTCTTCAAAATTCTCTTTATAATCTAACAATTTACTACCATAATGATGTGATACAATACCACTAGCAAATAAACCTAAATTCTGCATTTGTTTAAAAATATTTTTCATTCTTATTCTTTGTAATTATTAATGCTTTTGTTCACTCGCCACTGTTCACGCAGTCCTTCAGCTTTTCCGTTTAAATATCCTTTGTAGAAATAGGAACATGTATTCTACATAAGAATAACTCTCACGTTACGTATTTAGTAACAGTCATATTTTTAACATGAAGGTTACTAACTCATAAAACAGTCACCTATATTTACTTTACTTACTCCAATTAAGCTATAATAAGGTTCACTTTGCTTTCATCACATCTCTATAAGACACTTTTCTTGTTTGTAATTTAAAGCCGATAGCTAAATACATAAATTCCTGGTTTTGTTAACAACCATAAGGTATTTCTTTATGTTCTCAATAGCATGTTTAAGGTCTTTTTCATTAAGTGACTAAAAAAAAAGATAAAAATCGAATAGACCAATTTAACTTCACGAGCTTATGGAGATATCAAGAGTCGAACCCGAATTAACGATATGCAAAATCGCAGTTTTACC